CGTTTACTGCTCCATCATTCAGTATATTGGTTATGTGTCCCTAGAAGTAGGCAAGCAGTAAACTGTGTGTTCCTTTCAGTCAAGGATCGGCATCTATCTGGCTCATAATCCGGCTGGGACGTCGTCACGCAATATGTTACACTTTGCACAGATGGTACGCACAAAAAGTATGGCGCCGTTCGATCAAGGACCAGAGGGCAATACGAAGAAGTACGGCAAGGTAAAGGAACACTCAACTCACTTTGGCTCCAACCGCACCACTTGATCGCAAACCGCAGGCTTATGGCGGTCAAATTTATGTCCTGTCTACTCGAATGCGTAAAGTGCAGACAAAGCCATAAACATCTCCTTTTTATCATAAAACTAGGTACGTTCGAGCGAGACAATCGTTAGGGTTTTCACAGCACAGAACAGCTGTACACGGCATTACGTGGTAATATTGAACAGGTGCTCTGGCCTTCGTTACGAGTATTCAAACTTTCCAGCGGCCCTTCACGTCCCATGAACATCAATTCGATTGACTCGGAACAAAATGAAATGTTGATTTCAAATGCAAAATATATGGCTTTCCACCTTCAGGCTTTCCCACCAGAATACGACATGGGCCGTGTACATTGCCACACTTATCTGTTCTATTCGGATTATGACTGGCTGGCAAATGCAGCGGACGTCGAACAGTTCCTGATCCCGTCCTTGCCAAAATCCAGCGTCAAATTCGCAAGGTTCGTTAGAATTTACAGCGACAATAGTTAGATTCATCAGGAAAACCCAGCATGTAAACTGCTTTTGAAATGTTCCCATTAAGTGAGTGGACTTATCGCCCAAAGTTGATGAAAAAAAAAACCGAAAAAATCGTAAACCGTCGCATGTCCAACTGAAGGCAGTATGCGAACGTGTTTGTTTTGGTGGAGAGAAACGATTGTTAATCGCTAAGATTCAGTCTGCAGCGTACTCCATGTGGACCGCCGCAATTACTGCCTTATTCTCACTCGCAGCATACGTGGTGTCTGCGCCCTCTCACACAATGTGCTCTTTCACACGTTGTACCCCCTCCTCGCCGCTCTGTGTACCCTCCCTTCAAAAAGCCAGAAAGTGTGCGGTGCAGACCAAACACCACAACTGACGACGGCCTCCAAGTAAATCTGGTTAGTAGTGGTTCATAGTGATAGCTGATTTTTAGTAAATGATAGTTGTAATTAGTGTCAACTGATCGAATACAACTGTAACAGGTTAATCATTTCATTGGCAAAAACATTTGCATTTTCTGGAGGCCGTCGTCACTTGTGGTGTATGGTCTGCACCCGACACTTTCTGGCTTTTTGAAGGGGAGGTACGTCTTGTCCACGATTGACATTTTAGAAAAGGAAGGCCCTAATCCTTTGCTATTCTTGGATTTCTTTGCCTTTTCCGTAACATAAGCGTCCTCCTATCAGATCTTATTATAATTCCTATTGCGACCCATAACAACAAACCATCTGCGATTGTGACCCGTGCCTTTCATGCTTAACACATTGCGTACCTTGTGTGCCACCATGTGGCGCACGATTTCGCACGAAACAGCCTAGTTTTATCTGATTTATTTGAAAGGATAAAGGATAAAGCATTTGCCGTTGATCAATCCCTTTTTGGGATGCGGCACGCATTCTACTTCCATTTGTACATTCGCAGTGGCGTTTGAATGCGATGTGGCCTATACAATGACTTGCGGGGGCCAGCCGATGTACAAGTCAGTGTTTTTCCTCCCAGACAAGTCTGGTACCAACTAACCGACCCCGGAGGGATGGAAGGCTTGGTTGGCCCGAGCGATTTTGATGCCCGACTGAGCACGCGTAGTAAAGCCGTGCCACTTGCCGCTACACCACTCCCGCCTTCTGATTTATTTGACATTTTTCAATGCTCTTGAAATGTTTGCACTCATTTTCAGAGCCGGAAACCATACGTGTCATCACTGATAAATTGTTGATAGATTAATGATGATACATTTTTGAAAAATATAAAAAAATATACGAAGGTACTCATACAACGGCGGTCCGCAATGTGCCCCCAATTTAAATAGAATGTACCATTGTATGTCCTACATCACACATCACGCGCGGCGACTCGTTCGCTGACCTGCCTTCTTGCTGCTCGACGGGCCTCTTGTCGGGTACTAGGGTAATGAAAAGACAGCGAAGTACAACTAACTTAACCCAGTTCGACGATATCAGATGCGTGACATTATGACACCATCACATTACGAGTTACATGGCTAAGAGTCTATGTTCCCCACCTCAACCACGGACTTCACCGTCGCAGTATTATTAATGAATAGATTAAATTGATGTAGCGTTTTGATTCTACGCAAACTTTTTCAGAAGGCTGAAAGAGTTCAATCACAACGACTTTCTTTGGGGTCTCCGTGCTCGCAAGGAAATCTATGATCCGATCACGAATATCATCAAAATCGACACACGACGGCTACTGATCCAAAAAGCTTGAACACGTATTTCAAAAGTTAGTCCCACTTCAATAATCTTCAGCAGTCTGACAATTATGTGAAAATAATCCTTATTTTTAGCTAAACACAAACGAGACCATAACAGATGATCTTAGTACTTTCATCAAAGCCAATGAAACTTCGGGACTGGATTTATCAGCAATCGATCTCTCATAGTTGTTGATCATTTCTGATGCGCCATACTTAGCGGGTTGTGCTACAAACACTGTAGTGCGCAGATTGTGGTCGAACTAGTGGAACGCGAGTTCTTCCAAAAGTTTTGCTTTTCTGAATGAATCGCTTTCTTATCAATTATTTGTGTACTGAATTGTGTATGAAATGAAGGAATAAATTCAAATAAAATAAATTTAGAAAAACATTTGCTGTTTATGTCGATTCTGGCGGGGTTTAACAGTGGATTTTCACGGTATATTTCAAACTTCCTCCGCCATTACCTCGTTTTCGGCATCTTTTTTGAATTACCACAGAAAAGTACAGGTTAATGCCTTACTAATTTTCTTCCTGCTTAGGCTGATGCTTTTCAAGAGTCCTGCTGGTCGAAGCCTACCAGATTTGTGTTTGATCTGATACACTATTAAACCTTTATTGCCTCCCCCTTCTCGAAGCTGTGGCAACTTCTCGGTTTGGTTGAAAATTGGTCCCAAAGGTAGAAAAAGGTTAGTTTTCGACGGTAAAGTCACATCTGGTGATATCAGAAATGGCTCGATTCCGCTTCACAGGCGCCAGGAACTTAGACGAGCAGCTACTATTTTTACTGTTCCTTCCAAAAATTATTTTTGCATAGTAAGACGCAGAAAGGAAGTATCACAATGTAAGCGCAAAATTTGTTCTAATAAGTAAAGATAAACTCACTGTTGATAGGTCACCTGCACTACACACACGTGGCAAGACAGAAAAACAGTGCGGCGTGGAGAGGGTGCGTGCGAGAGAGCACACTGTATGGAGGGCGCAGACATCATGTATGCTGCAGATGAGAGTAAATGAGCAATGAGTGATCCACTGGTGTCAGCTGTGTTCAATTTCGTACTTAGGCAACATAGGTGGCATCGGCATGCAGTGAGTTCATCTCCAGTAGGGATCGGCTACAGTCGGAGACTAGACCTGTCGGAGAGATGGAATTCAAGAGGAGTTCGACTGCCTCTAAATTTACCGCCTTATGCCTTTGTTTTTCGTGACATTCTTAATTATTATGGTGAAATTATTGCATATAGCAGGTTGAGACACCTGTGGGAGATTTCCTCCGAAGAATTGTTTGCCCGCATACAAACTAATTTGGCATTCTGCCCATCTGGGGGTTGACTACACTTTTATCACACTTTTGTGATACATCACACATTTGCACTGGGGGGCCAGTATGCACTGGAAGTAAGTGAATCAGCCATTTTGGCGTTTCTGCTGGAGCTGTATGCTGAATATTATGGAGAGGATGGGGTCTCCAATGACCGACGTACTACTTCAACTCGGTCCCTTGAACCGCCTCAATAATGCTTACCTCAGGACTAAGCCTTAAAGAGAGCCGCAGGTCCGTCCTCTCTCCAAGGCTTAGTCCTGGGGTAAGCAAACCAGCCCTTTTGGCGGAGCTGCTGGACCTAGCTGCACCACTTCGTCATCACTCTCCTACCGTACCGACCGAGTTCAAGTAGACCTCGGGGACCCCATCCCCTCCCCAACATTCAGCATACGGCCCCAGCAGAAACGCCAAAAGGGCTGGTTTACCTCGATGATGCAAGTGATTTCGAGCGGCATCAGACTTCCGGCGCGCACCAAACAATCGACGAATGCGGACGCTTCTGGTAAACAACTTCGATGTTGCAAGGAATAAGCCCCCGAAACTACACTTTGCGGTCTTTTCGCGTGCCCCTGCGGGCAAATGGGGTGCAGTACGTGGTGGAGCGGTCCCGTATTATATGGCGCGTCGTAGAAAAGAACGGAATTAGACATTCCAAATGGGGAGCCTGGAGACAAGACGTTTCAGCGTGTTAGATCAAAGGCAGAGTTTACGACTACATAGAAGACGGCTCATTGCAGTCAAGGTAGAAGTGGTCAGTGATGTCGGAATGAAGAATTAAACCATAAGAATTGGCAAAACCCGACAACTGGGACCCCTTGCCAGCCGATTTCCGCACCGACTCGACTCTCATCGATGCTCCCCTCTTCAACGTTAATGCTCCCTCTTTCTCTGTAAAATGGCTAGAGACCTACGGCGAGTGCTTAGCCAGTCGGAGGCGGGCGTGCCGCTCAAATATCGCCGCGGGAAGGGCCACGCCAGATTGCAGGAAGCATATCCTGTTGCGTTTACCCTTGTGCGTTCACAACCCTAAGGGGCCGCCTGTCTTTCTACTAGGAAAGATCCCCCTTCTTCGATTTGGCCTTATCGTGAAATTCTCCTTTGATGTGAATGAAGACCGAAAATTATTCTACCAAAGGCTAGGAGGTCAAAAAAATTCTCAATTTCTTCACCCAAGCGACAAATGGAATGGTTTCCACAATCAATACTTCAGCTTTTCGGTCAGAAATCAAAGGAGCAATAGTTTTCCAATTCTTTCGATTGTTGTGAGACAAGCGCAATTTTCATTCTTTTCATTCTTGTCGTGAAGTGTGAGTCTCAAACATTCATTTATAGGGGATGAAATCGAGCGCCTGGTGCGCACGACTCTTTCTTCTGCTAACCTGTGTGAAAATGTTGCTCTATTCGATGGAGCCCCTCACGTGAAGCGGCTGTACTCTCGCCACTTCTAGCTGGGTTGTTCATAAGCGAGCAATCGAAAGTTCTGAGAGGAATGCCTTCGAGTGGTTTCTTTTTGCTCTGGTGAGCGTGGCCTAGACCTGCACTGGCATGGATAGATTCAATCAGAGCATAAACTGGGTAAAGTGCCCGCGGATACATGAGGATTTTCCCCAATCTGAAGCGCCACCGCTCTCGTGCAAGCTGTCACCAAATACATTCGCACAACTCCGGCCTACTGACGCTCTTTCCATGTCTGGGTTTTCTTCGGGACAAAAACCCATTTCTGTTCCGCTCTCCTACTGTTTTCGTGGAATTCGCATGCTGACTTATCGAAGGCGAACGACGGAACACGCCATGTCCGTTCATAATCTCTTTAAGGGTTTTATTAGTGAATTTCTCACGTTCGGGGTGAGCACGGACGCATCTAA